AAATTTTATTTTTTATTAACAAATAATAATTTTACATATTCATGGGGTACATATTTTGCTATGTACCTATTTTGATACGTACAATGTATAGTGATCAGATAAGGGTAATTAGCATGTCCATCTCAAACATTTACAAGAGAAGTTGGCACAATCCAGAATCCAGTGGGCACCACATTCTCTTACACAGTAAAACACTCCCATTTTTCTCTGTACTTTCCTATTTTCTGTTTCTGTACCTAACTTAATGTGAAAAAATACTGCTAGACTCTAGGCTTCGTGAGAATAGAATTCATATATAACTGCTTCATTGCTATGCTCCCAGTACCTGGCATAGCACCTGGAAAGAAGTATACTAATACATAGCTAAGAAATGATAGACAATGAATTATCACTGATCCCTCTTGGGGTCAAGGAAGATTCTCCATAGGTAAGGCAGACTGAGAAGGAAAGCCATTCCCTGAATCCCTCCCTTTCTCTGAAAGGAATAAATTTTTAAACTTCTTTCATTAAATCTATTTCTAATTCCATCATTATCCTTTTTTTTCTTGTAATATCCCCTTTACTTTGTACAAACCCAATGAAGGCAAAACTGAAAAATTAAAATGTTAGTTGTAAGTATTATAAGGAAAGCAACAGTAAAATGAGTGTATTTCTACACAACTAAGTAATTTTTCAACTTTAAAAATCTGATCAAAACATGCTTAATTACCAAATCACCACATAACCTATTTTGTAATCTTGAGTAAGCAGGTGTGTCATAGAGATACATTTTTAATGTGTTTTTAATTGCATTGGGAAAGGAAGAGGCTTTCATTTGTAACTCAAGTAATTTCTAGATGATGAATTAGAACAATGAAGTAATCTTTCAAAAGAAAATAGTTAAGCAACTGGAATTAGTAAGCAGAAAGTGCTAATCTTATTGACTTTGCCTGTGATTTATCACATATTTTCACAGGCCTCTCAGAAGAAAAGGGAAATAACATTTGATAATTATCACTGTCAGCATGCATTTATTTTGAAGCAGGATTGTGTCGAGGCTGTGATAATAACTATCAGGTTGCTTAAAATTATTTTTATACACTAGACACTTAGTCATAATAACTGTAAGAAGGAAAACCCTATTCATCACTAGGCACCTTAAGTCCAGTTGTCCAATCATCACAGCAGGTTCTTTGAAGAGTATATTTTAAACTAGAAAACTAAAGAATGCAGAAGGGCCAGGTACAGTGGCTCATGCCTGTAATCCCAGCATTTTTGGAGGTCCAGCCCTTTGGAAGGCTGAGCTGGGAAGATTCCTTAAGGCCAGGAGTTGGAGACCAGGCTAAGCAAAATAGCGAGACCATGTCGCAACAACAACAACAACAAATTTAAATTAGCTGGGTGTGGTGGCACTGGTGGCACATGCCTGTAGTCCTAGATACCTAGCTACTCAGGAAGCTGAGGAGGGGAAGGATCGCTTGAGCCAGGAGTTGAAGGCTGCAGTGAGCCTTGAATACACCACTGCATTCCAGCCTGGGTGACAGAACTAGGAAAACAAAAAAAAAGAAAAGAAAAAAGCAGAAAATGTACAAATCACAAGTTACCTTCTCTTGTTAAACTTGTTGATCAAATCCCTTTCACCTAAACATGTTTAGAGGTAATACACAATGATAACTAGAGGGAAGGGGGTTTCCTCTGGCCTGCTGTTGTTGAGGGAAGCCTGTAGAAACTATCCTGTAATTATACTGTAAGTGAGATTTCTTTAAAAACTCATTTTTAAATGACAAGAGAGAGGTTCAAACAGTTTAAGTATATTCAGTAGGTTGCTAAATGTATGTTTAACCCTAAATTTATACACAAGCACCCAGGATGCTAAAAAAGGAGTTTCGACTCTGCAACCTCTTGATAAATTTCCTGAGATTGGTCAAAGGACAGACTATGTCCTTTCAGCTTGCACTCCACCGAGCACTTTAGCTCACTTATTCTCAAGCAAAGCTCAGAAATCAGATCCTGCCCATCTTTCCGGAAAACCCAGGTATTTATTCAGTTACGATATTCTCATCAGTGTATTCTCATGGTCAAGCCCTGAAAACTAAGCTTAGCACCATATGTCCAGAACCCTGTAACCAAGAGCGTGTATTCACAGTGCTTATTGGATACGTTCAACCCAGGGAAATGTAGAGATCTGTCTCGTTGTCGTGTTTCAAGAAAATGTACTCCTTGGGATTGGCGATTTACCCTCAGTGTGCTATGACATTCCAACCTGAGCAGAATCCTCCAGGAGAATCCGGAGTCTCCAACTGCCTGCTGGGAACGGGGTCAAAGGGACGGATTTCTAGTGATAGAGATACAGGAAGAGGGAAATGGGTGGATATGGAAAGCGGGAGCGAGATGAAAAGGGATCTGAGACGAGAGAAAATGAACAACAGAGCAGAAAGTTGAATGAAATTCAAAACTCAGGGACACCTAAAAACGTTTGCGGCTGACTGTGCCCACAGCCTGCAGCAGTCTACACTCATGCACGCTCTCCGAAAAATCAGCAGGATCTTGCCCTTGCCTCATGGGTGAATGGTTAATTTGTGCAGGAAGGAACAGCCCCCAATACGTGTTTGAGAACAGGGACCTCAGCAAAATATCCTGAAGTTAAAAGAAGGCAAAACGATCTTGGAAAGATTTTGATTACAGCTGAGGGAGTGCAGCCCTCCCCTGCGCGGGTCAGCTTGCCAAGCTCCAGCTGCTTGTAGCAAATGAATGAAATGCAAAGGGCGGGATGGAGGGAGGGAGTGCAATCACAGCGAGCGAAGGGGATAGTCAGCTCTGCGGACCCCACAACGTCACCGAAGCGTGGGACTCCATGAGAGTATAAAGCGCGCCTGCAGCTCAGGATGCTCAGTTCTCCCGTCTGTGCCGGGCAGCTGGCGCCCTCGCTAGTTTTGGTGTGACGCGATAACCCTTAATCTCGGGAGGATCTCATCCTTTCCGCCTGCCAGAGCCGCAAGTTCCTTTGAGAAAGTGCGACTCTTGCCCCCTAGCACCTACCGCATCCTCTAACCAGCAGGGATTGCAGTATCTTTCTAAGCTTCCAGTCTTATCTGAATATCCCGGCACCAAAGTGACCAGGAGGCAGAGAAGAACTTCAGAGGAGTCTTGTCTTGGGCTGCTCGTGGGTGAGTGGGAAGGTCCGTGACTGCAGATCGGTGGCGATGGCCACTCTCCCAGCAGCAGAAACCTGGATAGACGGGGGTGGAGGCGTGGGTGCAGACGCGGTGAACCTGACTGCCTCGCTAGCTGCCGGGGCTGCCACGGGGACAGTTGAGACTGGGTGGCTGCAACTGCTGGACCAAGCTGGCAACCTTTCCTCCTCCCCCTCCGCGCTGGGACTGCCTGTGGCTTCCCCCGCGCCCTCCCAGCCCCGGGCCAACCTCACCAACCAGTTCGTGCAGCCGTCCTGGCGCATCGCGCTCTGGTCCCTGGCGTATGGTGTGGTGGTGGCAGTGGCAGTTTTTGGAAATCTCATCGTCATCTGGATCATCCTGGCCCACAAGCGCATGAGGACTGTCACCAACTACTTCCTTGTGAACCTGGCTTTCTCCGACGCCTCCATGGCCGCCTTCAACACGTTGGTCAACTTCATCTACGCGCTTCATAGCGAGTGGTACTTTGGCGCCAACTACTGCCGCTTCCAGAACTTCTTTCCTATCACAGCTGTCTTCGCCAGCATCTACTCCATGACCGCCATTGCGGTGGACAGGTAAGGAGAGGACAGACAGAGAGGAAAGAGGGAGAAGGGAAAGAAAAGAGTTGGGTGGTGGGATAAGATTACAAAGGAAATGGTAACGTAACGGGGTCTACAAAAGTAAAGAGACTAAGAATTTTTGCTGAAAGGAGGACACTAACCCATTTGTAGCCCTCGAGTGACTGAACAAGTTTCTGCTTCCGTGGCTTCCGACACTCAAGCCCTAAATCATTGAGCCTTACTAAGGATATCTAGAGGGACTGAAGAAGGTGAATGAGGGAGAGGTTAAAATGCCATTCCAAGTAGGGCAAACTTAGCCAGAAAACTTTAAGTACCAGCAAACTTTCTCAAATGACTTTTGAACAAAATTTATGTCATCTGTAAAGTGCACTTTTTGGCCTTCCTTCTCTCTGTCAGTCACTATTCTGGGCAGAGAAATGGTAAATGAGTCGCCTCTCCATCCTTCCTTCTTCTGTCTGTTCCTCATCCTCATCCTTCCCTGTTCCCTAGTCTTGCCCCAAGGCCAGCACTGGTTTGGTCTCCCAATCACCAAGAACTAGCAAAGGCCACACACACTCTCCAAAAACTACTGTAAACTAGCAGGTTCCACCACATCTCAGATTAGATTTGATTTCCAGTAATCTGCAGAGGCTATGAACTGAGTAAACCCTGTGTCTGCAAGTGTGTAACCAAATTTTTAAAAACTGTGTGCACTTGCCTTCTCATATTGAACATTATGAAGTATAGGTATTTGTGGAAACACAATGGTGAATCCCTACCTGTTACTGAAGGCTAGCTGCACATTAATTCAACTATGTGGTGAAAATGAACCACAGCAGTTGATTTCAGTCTCAGCTTTGTGAAAGGCAATTGCATGGAGGATACATGAGGGTGATCTCACTTTAACTTGAAGTCTCAATGCTCTTATTCATGCAAAGATTATTTTCAAACATTAACAAACCTATATCAAAATAAAATGGAGATAGATATTAATTCTTATGACATTTCAGCTGCCATTATAATTTAAAAAATAAGAAAAAAAAAAAGGTTATCTCCATAAGTTCATCTAAGTTCATCCTCTGTGTTTACTATTTTGAAATACTGAGCACTGAGGTATTAGTAACATATATCTCTAGAAAATATTTTCTTGTGCCAGGCCCAAAGGATTAAATTGAAGGAGTAGAGGTTAGTAGCCACTAACCAGAATAAACACAAAATCACACGTTTTAAAAAGCCTCTAAAATTGTCAATCTTCCCTTTCTCGTTTATCTCTGATTATCCACACATATGCATCCCTTCATTTCTACTATGTATAGGAGTGCAAAGAATGAAAAAAAATCAGACTCCAGTTGGGAAATAAGTGAAATTGCCTCTAATCTTATTACACCAAAATAGAAATAAGTGTTCCTTTTGTTTGAGCAGCTTCCTTGCTTGTTTTGCTTTGTTTGTTTGTTTTCTTTTTATTTCTTATAGTATTTTTTGATGTTTTGATTGGGGGAGAGGTATTAGCATATAATGTTATAAAATTATTACAATCTTCTTGGAAGGTTAATGATGCAATATAAATTTTGAAGAAAATGTAAGTGCATGTGAAATCTGTATTTCAATTGTGAAGGGGAAAAAAAAGGTTATATTTTTCTCTTTCCAATTTCTTCCTGCCAACATTTATGGGATGGTCTTGGAGTTATTTTAAATAATCATTTAGTGCTATCTTATTACAGTCATTGGTTTGAATTAATGAATACTGTTAATCTTTACTATTTCTTTATGTAAAACATTAATCATTAAAACTTAACAAATTTAGAGTATACAATATGCTATAAAATCTGAAGCATACTCAGTTCTTGTACTGAAAATCTCTTTTAAAACTATTATTCACTTGGACTCAGGAAGGGGAACATCACACACCGGGGCCTATCGTGGGGAGGGGGGAGGGGGGAGATTGCATTGGGAGTTATACCTGATGTAAATGACGAGTTGATGGGTGC